AGAATTTCTAAATATAAGTAAATGAGCACCTGAAATAGCAGCATTTCTGGCTGTTTTTTTTTCATATTTTGGATCTTGAATACGAATTACAAGCCCAACTTTGAGAAATATTAAACAGTTAAAATTAATACCAAATTGAGAAGTTTGGTGTTGAACCTGATATTTTGTTCTAGTTGCTTGTAATAAATTCTGTGCTTTGAATTCAGCAGCAGCACTATCTAATCTAATAGATATTATATGTAATTCCAAATTTGCTGCAATATTTATGAGCTTTTGATGAAATGCAAAAATTTTTTCACTATCATCACTTCCAGTTAGAATTAATGCTACAATTATTAGTGGAAATTTTGGAAGAGGTATCTAGTAATTTAAAAAATCAATTTAGATAAAATATTATAATAAAATTTAAATTAATTATTGACTATTACCTAAAGAACATAAGCTCTAACATATTTTGCAACTGCATTTTCTTGCTTTATAACAGAAACCTTATTATATATATTATTATAAGTTTCAACCTTACAATAATTTTGATTTAAGGTCGATCCAACAATACAACCCAAACTTGAAGAATACTGTAACCGGCTTTTATTTTTGTACAATCAGTCATAGCCACAACAGGACCCTTATAATGTAATGCATCTAAAAACCTCTTAAAACAAGCAACATTTTTATAGCAAAGATCAGGATTATTGATCACATCATCTGAAATTCTTCTATAGTGCTTATAAATAATAAAATTATTTTTAAATATAATTATATTGATCAATAATTTTCTATAATAACATATATTTAATGCATGTATTAAATTATATTTACCTTATTGTTCAAATAGTTATATCTGCCAAATTTTGATAAAATAAATCCAATGCTTTTAATCTGATACTTTTCAAAATTACAAGAAAATTTAAAAGTTCATTTGAATATTTAAGGTTCTGTAAACCTTTATTTTGGTTTTCATATTCTGTAGCTTGTAACATTATATAGCACAGTCTTTTAAAAACTGGCTTTTGCTCAAATATGCCTTTAGTAGCTTTCTCAGAAAATTCTGCCCAAAATTCTTTTGATGAATTCTCATTATAAAGAATATTATACAATTGTTTAATGTGATTATTTTTTAGATAAGATAATAATAGATTATTATTATAATAAAATTTAGGTGTATATTTGATATTTTTTGAATCAGGAGTAACTGCTCTAATATGATTCAAAAAATATAGATTATTATAAAGAAGATAACACAGAGAACATGCTTGCCTATAAGATTTTTTTTCATAATTAACAGATCAGATACATATCCTTAATATTACAATTATAAAGCCAAATAGTTAAATTCTAAGTAGTTCTAATATAATAAAGTGAATAATTAATTTTAATCATAGCTTTAATTTTGCTATAATTAATTTATCAAAGCGATCAATAAACTATTCAGATTTGATCATTACTTGTTGATTAAATCTTATTATTTCTTCTTCATTAAGTTTTTTAGAATTGAATTTTATATTATTTAGAAATTTATTTGAGAACATCTCTTTTCCAATCACTTCACATCATCATGCACCTCTATATGTGGATGGTGTTCTATTAATATAAGAACTAATTTGTTCAGAATATAACCCAGGACAAGGTTTGTCTGGAAATGATAGAAGAGATAGTAAGGATGATGGTGATGATGGAGAATTTTTTTTTCTTTTTTTAGAGTTAGATAAGACCAAAAACAGACCAGGTAATCCAAGCTACTTTTTTTCATTATTCAATTTATATCTTGAATTTTCAGAATATTTGATAAGCCTTTTCTCATCATAGTCATTATCTAGAATAACTTTTTGTCTACATACACAAAATACTGTGTGTTTATCAACAATAGCCCCACAAAATTTATTGCTAGTTAAGCAAGCTCTAGCAGTGTTGTATATTTTGGCTGTCCAAAGCCTTTTTTGACTTGTCCATGTTCAAAATTGTCTAAGTGTCCAAGATTGTCCAAAGCTTGTTTAGGCTTTAATAATTAATTAATCTGTTTAAAAAATATATAACTATATATTTTTTTAGGTGCTAAATTTATTTTAATTAAAATTAAAATAGGTTATCTTAATAAAATTTCAAGTAATTTTACTTTATTTAATTGTCCAAGATTGTTTAAGATTGTCCAAAGTATTGTCCAAAGCTGTCCCATGACAACACTGAGCTCTAGTATGTTTTCACCCCATTTATTCTCAAACAAAAAACAAGTGCTTTATAAAAACACTTCTTTGTAGCTCAGCCTGGTTATTATATATATATAATTTTTTATTATTATAAAAACTTTATAATCTTTTTGTATACCAGATTATTTAAACTTTTTTTTTATATGCCAAACTATTTCAACTTTTTTTTTACATCCAAACTATTTCAAGCTTTTTTTTACATGCCAACCTATTTCAAACTTAAGTTAGTGTTATATCTAGAGGTCTGACCTGGTCAATAAATATATATTCGAATATTCATTTGTTCAATCTAATTATATTCGAATATTCATTAAAAATCTCAAATGAAAATTCGAAATATTCAATGAATATTCACTAAATACTAATTCGAGTATTCAATGAATATTCAATAAATATTTTTTGTGGCTTAGTATTCACTGAATAGAATCGAGTATTCAGTGAATATTTTTTGTGGCTTAGTTAAGTATTCACCGAATAGAGTTCGAGTATTCGGTAAAAAATTATTACATTATGACTTTTCAGCATTTAGATCGTGCTCGTTGAACAAGATCTATAGCAGATTACTAATTCTATTTTGTGTAATAATTTAAAACTTTATTTTATCGCTTGAAAGAACAAATATTCAAAGGGTTTATGTAACGGTAAACTAAATATTATCGCTCAAGTTTTTTTTATATCAAATTATTATTATTAAATACATTTTGTAGCTTGCTTGTTTGGCCTTTAACAATTTAAGTATCGATTTATTTTATAATATATATACTTCTGTATTTAGAAATACAACACATTCTATTTTAAAAAAGAATATTACTAATTGTTCATATTTTATAATTTTTAACTTAGAACTTGGCCGCTTATTTTTTAACTATTTTATACTCTTTCTAAAATATTTGCTTGAGCATAAACATTTTCAAGCTTATTATTATTGCGCTTTAAAAACAACATTTGTTCGAATAATCTAGGTTTCAACATCATTCTTCTGATAGTTATTGTATTACTTGCGTTACTGAAAAGCCTTTCGCTTGGAGTTGAAGTTGCAGTGTTGCAAGATATTGCCTGGCAAACTTACTAATAATGGGAAAAAAAGCCTTTTGAGAATTCTACCAGTAAACGGATTCGACTTGTAGAAGATCTCGGGTAAAGAAAGATAATTATCAACTTCATCATTTGATTCGTCAGAGATATCTTGCATAAAGACTGTTTTTAAAAATGTTTTTTGATAAACTTGACTTCCTTGGTTATTTTGATCTTCATTAGGACTAAAAGATTTAGTAGATAAAGTTGTTGAAGATTGATAGAGGGATTTGGCATCATTATACTTAGTGCGCAGGGCAGCCTCAGCTTCGCATCATTGAGATATGGTTGCAAATCACAACTTTTTGCATCTTGGGTCAAGAAGGCAAGTGAGAAATACTTCACCATCAGATAAGTCCCAATAGTGCAAAAGTGCACTATACAGAGCATTTTTAATTTTGTGCCTCATATTTGCAGTATTAGTAGGTGTATTAATGCTAATTTTTCTTTTTTTTGGTCCTTCTTCTTCTTCTTCCTAAGTATCAATATATCCAACATCTTCATCAAATACTAAATTATCCATTTCAAAGTTTATTTCATCATCTAATTCTTCATCATAAGAGCTTGTAGAACTAGCTAATTTTTGCATTAGTGCCAAAATAGATGGAAATATGTATGAAATAGTAACATATTTCAAACCACCAAGCTCCTCTGTGGTTTCATAGAAAGAACCCAAGATTACAACAAGATCTTTCATTAAATCCCACTCATCTTTGGTTAGTTGTATTTGCTTTAATCTTCTTGCATCTTTACAGGCTTCAGAAGCAGTAGAGACAGTTAATATTGTTAAGACAATATTGATGGCATCCTTGATAAGTAAAAGGCATTCCCAAGCTAAAAAAGATGAATTCTATCGCGTAGGTACATCCATTTTTGCATGAAGGTACGTTGAAGTTTTCTTAATCATCTATTATTAAAATAGTTTAGTATTGGAATGAAGAATTAGTAAATAAATATATTATATTTTTATCTGAAATTTTCATCGTCTTCTGAGCATCTTCTAGTCATTCATTTTGTTTTGGTGCCATAAAAAAATTTATTAATTGTTTGGCCCTCATTACAAGCTTTTTGGCTAGCATCAGACCTTTTTCTATGACAAGTTGTAGAGTATGAGCGGAACAAGGTATCCTTATGATATTGGTTATATTATTGATTGCAGCCTTCATGTTTGCTCCGTTATCAGTCATGATCGAATATACTTTTTCTGTAAGACCCCAATCAGAAATTATGTCTTCTAGTTTTTCTTGAATAGCGTTAACAGTATGTGGATATTTAATATAAGTTAAAGAAAGCAAGATTTCATGGATTTTAAATTCAGGGTCAATCCACGAACAGGTAACGCCAAGATATCCTTGCTTGTTGCGAGCTGTCCACAGATCTGTGGCAAGTGAGCAAGTCATCACACTATTTTGTAACTTTTTCTGTATACTTCTAGCACACTGATTATATAACGTATGAATCGTTTGTTTTATTCTTTTTTCACTAGGCAAAATAAATATTGGATCTAATTCTTTCACGAACTCGCAAAAAAATTGACTTGATACAAGATTAAATGGCTAAGCATCACAGATAATAAATTTAATAAGAGCCATAATAAGCTTGTTATTTTTTGATTTATTATGTTGGTAAGTGGTTGTAGTTGCTACAAACGAGTCGATTTTAGTTTGCTTAGAATGCTATGTAAAATGATGTTAGTTAAATTTTTTAATTGCAAATAAATTATTAATTTAATAGTTTATTTACATCATCATGTTCAGATAACTTGGGTCCATCCTTTGTAATGCCATGGATATTTGAAAGATGAGATATCAAATTTGATGTTGAGCCACCTGTTAATTTCAATTAAGACTTATATTTCTGATCAGAATTATTCAACACAAGACAAATAGCATATGTAACCTCAATATTAACTTTCTTATCAAGTTGTTGAATAGTTTCGATTACTTTTTTTTCTTCAAAGTAATTCCATACCCAGCTTCATTTTTTTGAGCCACCCTTTCGACCAAATTTAGCTTTTTTAAAGGTAGGGTTATCATAAATTTTGATATCACTTCTTGCACTTGTACTTATTTCTAATGTTGGGCTACTCGATCTTGTAATAGAATCTGTGAACATTTCGTTAAATGGTTGAGCTGATGAAGTTGAAGTATCATTTTCTTTCATTGTGTTGCTGATGACTGCTTCTGTTTAATTAATTGAGGTGCTTTACAAGCATCAAGATAATAGAATGCTATTTATAAAGTTTTATAATTCAAAGAGCTGAACTATTGAATTATTATGATTTAAACACAAAAACTTTCAATTAACTAATTACACACTTCTTATACAGATAACTTATGTATAGATTTAATATATATGGTTGTGTTATGTATGCTTTGATTGTTTATATGCATATACTTGCATGGCTAAGACTAATATATACTAAATCATATAGATAAGTCTTTTTTATTCATACAGCATTCTATATTAATAACCTATGCCATTTCCTGATTGTCTTAACCATTTCTTTTTTTAACATGCTTTAGTTTCTCAAAAAATCTTATGATGACTTCGGGTGTACTGGGTTTTACAACTCTGGGTTATGTGGCTATCCAATGTTGTTAAAAAAAGCTACTTTAAACCCCAATACTGATTCTTATCATTTTGATACTATTGTGGAGTCTGTTGATCTGATAAACCTTATTAGGTAAATGGTGTATGCATTATGTAAAACAATTCGAAGAGTTACATATGCTTAAAAATAAGTAATATATATGAGAAAAAGAAAGCTAAAAGTCCATTGTTAAAACTGCAGAATATTTTACTTGGTCATTGATGAGCATTAAGTTATAAATGAATGAATGAAAATTTTTTTCTATACTAAAAATTACAGACAATACATATCAATCTAACTATTGTTATGATTGATAAAATATCAATAGAGCTTGTTGAGGTGAGCAGAGTAGGTGATTGCTATCTGCTCCCAATACAGAATTGCGGCAGCAAATGACTAAATTTGAAGAATAGCTTTGAAAGAGTATTACTGAATTGTCATGAAATAACGCTTATCCGCATGTTATTTTAAGTATATACGCGTCATTTAGAGTACGTACATGGGCATCATTATAAGACAAGATTGTCATATCTAATTATTTTTTGAAACTCTAATGCTAGGTGCGCATCATTTTAGGACATGCATATATGTTATTTTGAAACCATGTATGCCATTTTTATGGGATGCGATTTTTTAAATAACGCCCATGCCCATTATTTCACGACAATATGGTATAGCGTTTTTCAAATTATTGAACCCCGATGATCATTCTATAACTTTTGGGGTTAACTTTAGGTTTGAATGTTTCGAATTACTCGCTTTGGCTAGAGCTAAGATTCTTTGAATATTCATTATAATTATTCAATGAATTTACACGGGCTTTTGCGTAATTAAATATTCACTTGTAATTGAATATTTATTTTTAACCGTGGATATTCACAGGTCCTAGCTCTAGCTTGGCTGTTATTTTCAGACTGAAGTATTGTTCAGGTATTTCACCATATTAGAACCACGCTGTTTATTTATTAAAGCAATTCTTTACTATTAATCATCAATATTCGTAATATCTCTTAAAGAGACTTGCTTTATATACTAAATTACAGATTATCATATATTACACATATTAGATTACTACATATTAGACTTTTTGCAAATTCAATTCATGCTATTCATACAATGTAGTTATGTTATATAGACTTGATTCTAATTATTTTGGTACTACGAGTTTCGGGAACCCGATTAACCTATTACACTAGGACTTTATTACAGAGTACTGTAAAATCCGGACATGTTTATCCCAGATATTTTCATTACCCAATTTTGTACTCGGGTACCTCTATATGAGGGTACGCCATCTTGAGATAATATGGTTTACTTTATTCCACGGGTCTTATATAACAACCTATGCTTTTTCATCTTGGTTATTGCACAGGATTGTACGTCAGACACCATGAAATAATAAAGTTATTGTATGGGTATATGAATAACCATGACCTTTGGCCACGGTTATTCACTACATACCCATACAATAACAATCATGTATCTACCTGGGATGATGTATAATAACTATGTACCCCCTTAAAACTGCTAGAGTATACAGATCCGCCAAATAACTGTAGCATATCAGTAGCATATCAGGTTGGAGAATGGGAGGTAGATCGATATCAGTAACATAACAGTAACATACTGAGACATCCCGGTATCTTACTCTTAGTCCAAATAGTGCTAAAAGTAAGATATCGGGATGTCCCAGTATTTTACTGTTATGTTACCGATATCGATCTATCTCCTATTATTTAACCTATATGCTACTGATATGCTACTGATATACTACAGCTATTTGGCTGATCTATGATAGAATAACAGGCATATATTGGGAGATTTGTCTCCTATTATATACCTGTTATTCATTAATTTAACCTATGTATATTTTAAAAATAAAGATTAAATATTTTAAATTGTATATAGTAAAAATATTTTTAAATTTTTTATATTTTTTGTAGATATATAATAATAAATATATAATATAAAATAATATAAATTATAAATATTGTAAATTTATTAAATTGAATATTTAAAAATTGTAAATTTATTTATTTTAATAAACAAATTTATTTTAAATAATTTATATATTTATTCATTGAATATTCAATGAATTATTTGGTGAATATTTTAAATATTTGAATATTCAATTTGGTGAAAAATTAAATATTCGAATATTTGAATATTCAATAAATATTCGAATATACTATTCATTGAGTTAGATCTCTAAAACTTAGCTAAAAATATTTGTGTACATAGATTTTATACACTGCGTATGAGGATCATTAAAATGTACGTGAGAAAATTGAACAATTTAAGGCAAGTGATTTGTGACTGTTTATACTTTTTTTTGAACGAATACATGTTTCATTTTTACATGAGCAAAATAATTGTTATGTAGAAGACTCGTGACAGAGCAATAATTTTATATATAATATATATATATATAATAATATATAATAAATCTATTATGGGTGTGGCGACTTAGTGAAGTGGTGGAGTTGTCGCACCTCCAGACGGCAGGTCTAGAGTTCGAATCCCACGGACGA